TTTCTGCTGTCTTATTCTACTCATCCAACCAAGTGGTGAATGTGTGTGATTAAACAGCAGGACAATGTCAAGTTTGTCAAATATTTAGTAATACATCTATACATCAGTATGAGTTTGGGAACTTTATTTGAATTCAGGGAGACACAATATTACACAATGTTACAACAAACTGGAAAATATTTGAAATGTCGACCCTGCACTTACTATGTTGGGATGGCATTTGATGAAATGTCTTATTGTGGTTAATACAATGGAATGTTTTCTAATGTTTTCAATCACCTGAAAATAAGAATCATTGTGTTTTCTTTGAATGAGCCTTAAGTGTACCGAGGGAGCAGGTCCACTTCCACAGAGTCCACCATGTTGCTCTGCCATGTTTCTACAGTAGCCCAGAAAGGACAAACCAAACATTTTATGTTTTTGTTACCTGGAGACGACTGTAGCTTCTCCTGCATTATTAAAAAGGGAGGATGAAAGGAAGGCTATTCACTTGGTTAAAATTTATATTATTTTTTTGTCTGCTCAGGGGCAGCGGAAGACACTGTAAACAGTTACTATCAACTTATAAAATTGGAGAACCAAACTATCTGCACACATTCTTAATGGTCAGCAGTGATACTTGCGTGCACCAGATGAATGTGACGTCAACTGAATCCACCTGAACTGGTGTCACCCTTAACCCAGCAGATCTTCGTCTCTCCCCTGTGGATGGGAGAGGCCGTTTGAAGGTTTATGTTGGCAGCGTGAAGGCTGCGTTACATCACATGCATTCGTGTAGCGTGGGGAGCTAAGCAGGTCATAAAACTTAAACCCAGTAAACACACTGGAATATGGACTTGGAAAGTGACTGTTAATGATCCAGCTCGGGCTGGTGGAGATGAACCAGCTGGACCCACCTCAAACACCTTGCTTATTTTCTCCCTGCGTACAAGGATCCGTATTTCCAAGAACTAAGATTTATTCTCTAAGGGGAATCTAAGCAAGCTCTAAAGATGTAAAAATCATTATTATTACACTGTTGGGTCAATTGGTATTCGGACAGTTTTTAGAATTTAGCCTCTGTACACTGTCACAACAGCCTGATGTAGGGACATGACAAGTGATGTCCAGTAATATAACAGCTGATAGAAATAGCAGGTCAAAGGCAGACGAGTTCAAGTCGACACCATCTGCTCAGATTCAGCCAAATGCTGCAAAACTGATGGAAAGTGATGGAAAACTGATAAACGTACTGCTATTACATCCCAAGAGCCTCAAGGCAAAGTAATCAAATATTCTTTAATGGTATAGACTGCGACCTGACCTCAACCCACTTGAGTAGTTTTTTTACTCACTGACGACAAAGCTGCGGGAGAGAAAGACCCACAACCAAGGCCTGGCAAATAATCTCAAGGGAGGAAACCAACATTTCCATGCAGCTAATGTACAACGCAGGCCTGGCCAAGAAAAAGAAGAATATATTTATGAACAAAAGAGGGGGAAAATTAAGAGAAGAAATCACTTCTCTACGATGCTGCTGTGATTCTTAGACTTGTTTTCACTTTGAGCTCCAGCCTCGTCCCTTATATCAGCTGGGTATTACTAAAAGAGATATGAATTAATTATTAATAACCAATTTACCAGCAAGAGATCAACACCAAGGTTCACCCAATGTCCAAACATTTACTATTGTATTACAGAACACAATAAAAACAAATCTGAAACCATTAATCATTGGGAAGTTGGTTAAAATAGCAATGCATGGAAATAAATACATCCCTCCAAGTCTACCCCACTTGGTGCCTGCTTCCGTGGACCCTGGTTCATAAGCAAAGTGGTCCTCATGGGTGGTTTTGGCAGTTGTGCTGTTTTTTCCACCGGCTGACAACTACATAGATTTCACTGCAACCCACACAGGGTAAGAAACTACTCTGACTTGAAAATGATACAATATACTTTGTGGAGTTGATCACTGATGAAAAGTGATATGAGGCTATAAATATAAATGACTGAGTTATTGACGGAGAAGAAGCACCCTTTATATGCTTCATCTGAACATTTCTGAATGTAACAGTGTGCAGATAGCACAGTTCCTTAATGTCTTAAATTCAGTCCAGACAAACTAACTATCTACATGTATATGTGTTCAACCACTCCATTCACAAAGTTAAAGATACAAGTGTTTTTCATTACATCCATTCCTTCCTCGGACCTAGTGAGTGATAGATATTTGATTTTCACACTATTCAATTAAAATGGCCAATAATATTTGGTTTACTCATAATTGCATTAGAGTTTTTTGATACTGTGACCATATAATATAGATTATTATAGATATTATTATAGATTATTCAGATGACTTAGGGATGGGATGTGTCATTGGGCAGAGCTGACGTTGGAGCAACTGAAATTTGCATCCAATGTTTGTTTTTGTGTGAAGGATTAACACATGCATTAAATTCACATTGCTTAAAGCTGAAACGGATCAAATATAATATGCTCTTCAGAAAACTGTGTTAATGCTCAAGTACGGACCAAACTGTAAATTCTGAAAATATTTTTATACACAGTTAATGTTGTGTTTGGGTGTATCTTCCAGTACTTTGTGTTTCTCGCCGTGACAGCAGGATTTAGAGTGAATTGCTTGGTTAAATAAATGTCAGAAATATTACAGGTCTCTCCATGTCTTCTACATGTTTAGATCTCTTTTGGATAAATCTTCAGTGCTCAGCTTGTGGAGACTGTTGTATGTGTACTGAGCCGGTGGCAGAGCGGAAAAAACTTCTACAGACTAAAAGTCATGATTTCTATCGTGAAAAGGTTATATTCAATTGCTAGAATGTCCCTTTGAGCTTACTATACATAGTGCTATGCTCATATTGATAAGAAATTAGTGAGAAAGGGTGTAAAAAGTGTAAAAAAAAAAGTGAATTATGTTAATCAACTGGAAATCATGAACTAAAAACTGATTCTCTAAGTATTGTTCTATCTGCGAGGAGAGCTGGATGCTTCCAAAGAGTCTTTTGATGGGTGGATGTGTGTGGATGGATTTATACAAGGTGCAGGAGTTTGAAACCAGAGTTTGAATTTTTTGTTTTATTCTCATTCGTGAGTTTTTTTTAGTTGCAGGAAACATATTCTCAAGTGACTGATATGCTCAGCTGCGTTAATCATTGAATGGATAGAAAACAGTTTAATCTTCACTACGTTTCCTTCAGAGTGTATTTGTTTGGCGACAGTGTTGTAGGCCTTCATAGGGGATACAAGGGCTCAGTAGTGTCAAAGTAGAAAACACTTAAATCTGACCTGATGTAAAGGTATCAGTGTGTCAATCTAGAAATATTCTATTACAAGTAAAAGTTCTCTATCTTCATTTGTATTATCGTGAAAATATAGCAGTGAACACTGTCATTAACTATCGTTGCTCCTCTTTGGTCTTTAGTGCCTATTAGACTGACAAACAGTTTTTATCCCCAGGCCATCAGGCTTTTGAACCACGGAGCATAACCACCATCTACCTCTATATTTGCAATTTTTGCACAAGACATTGCACATTACATCTCCTTTGCACATTGTTTGAATTGCCGTTATATTTCACTTTGATCGGTCACCTGTTATCTTATTCTTTATTTTGATTATGTTTATTTTATTAT